TATTTCTATCCTCCTCTTTGATTCTGTTTACAAAAACCACAAGTATGGAGAATAAGCCTTTATTTAGACAATGCTTTGCTCTAAACAGATTTTTACTTAGAGTGAAACGTTGTGCAAGTAAAGTCGTGTCCTTCAGACCTCTTGGTCTGTGGACAAAAGTCACATGTTATTGCATTAAATGACAAATGCAAGTTTTATTATTAGTGTAAACAAATGACTATGAGCCAACAAATGGTAACAAAAGGAGACTTTTAGCTCCCCTCTAAAGACTTTTATTAATATGACGGTTTACCCACTGGTGCTGTTCTAAACTATGAATCCCTTCACTTACGTTTTCTCGGAATATAATAGGAAAAAGAGAGGGGAAGGGGTATGAACGCAGTTTTACCCACTAAAAAATATAAAATGCCCGTATGACCAATAACAAAATAGGTATTTAAAAAACAAGGTTCCAATTAATAAATTACAAAACTAATTACAGTCCTTGTAAAAGCTGGTAATTTCTTCACATAATTATAAAACTTCAATTAGTAAATATATATATATATATATATAAATTGACAGGGCTGTTATATATTCGGAAAAAAATATGCTAAACCCGCATGGGTCGTACAGACAGGGCTACTTGTAAACCTGAGCAATAAATACACAAGGGACAAATTCATGTAACATATATTGTGTGTTTCAGTCTTGTGTTGTAGAAATGGAAGAGAAAACTGAAAAGATTAGCTAAAAAGTACAGAAATTAATGAAAATATAAATTAATAATTGCTTAGGTCATTATTTATTGTCATTATTATTAATTATTATTATTGTTATTATTATTATTATTAGTAGTAGTAGTAGTAGTAGTAGTAGTAGTAGTAGTAGATGTAGCAGCAGTTGTATTATTATTATTATTATTATTATTATTATTATTATTATTATATTTTACGAAAAGTAAATTTCGTATGGAACGTACTCCATACACTCGAAAAAAAAGGTCAGAATATAAAACAAGGGCTTTCAGGTACTGCTCCAGCGGCGGAACTGCCGAACATAAATAAATGAAAAAAAAAATCACATTGCTTGCATGTGTGGTTGTGTTTAGTGACTTGGGTAGTGTGACTGGAATGTTGACTAGTGGTTACAGAGGTGACAACATTATCTCAAATGGGTGATACGTCGTATTAATAAAAATAATCCATGATGATCTTGTTTTTTATCATTTATTATGGATATTCCAAAATATAATCCTTAAATAAATTGCATTACGTGCTCATGTCAAATACAGTATAGTTGAAGTTATATATTAAGCACTTTTAAAATTTTATTATTGCACTAATGGATCACAGTAAATAAAGGCTTTTAAAGCGTCTCCTGACGAAAACGTTCTACTTAATGCTAAAAATAATTTGTGTTGCATTTGATACCATTATTTCCAGCACCTAATTGTGTTTTTTTTACTGACAATTATATTCATTATTTTTCCCGTGAGAAGTTGAGAATGAGAGAATATTGTTTGAGTCACAGCTCCCGTCTGAGAAGCGCAAGTCGCAGGGTAAGTGGTAGTATCCTAGTGTATCATTGTATATATATGTATATTTCTGTATATATTTGTATATTCTTGTATATAATTGTGTATGGAGTACTGGAACCGAACCGGTGACCTAGCAATTGCAAGTCCACCTCCTTACGCAATCTGTCACTTGCACTGTATGATGAGATTATCGTTTCATTTTCGTATAAGTATCTCGTGATGGCCCATCCTCGTGTGAACCAACTCAAATGTGTCTTACAAACCTCCTCGATTTTTACCTGTGTTTCCAGTGTGAGTTCCTCTTTCTGACGTGTGATCCATGTCCAAGGTTCTGTGACTGTAATGTGCGCTACTGTTAGCATCCCAGATCTCTGGAGGGCAGTACTGTTGTTGCCCTAACACGTGAATCTCCATCTTTCTCTCTACCTCTTTTTTTCAGCCGTGTACCTGGAAGCTCCCTACAGGTGTGTCTTTATCTCCCGTGTACCTGGTAGCTCCCTCCAGGTGTGTCCTAATCCTACTGTACCTGGTAGCTCCCTCCAGGTGTGTCTTAATCCTAGTGTACTTGGTAGCTCCCTCCAGGTGTGTTTTAATCCTACTGTACCTGGTAGCTCCCTCCAGGTGTGTCTTAATCCTAGTGTACCTGGTAGCCCTTTGGACCATCTACCAATGTGTCATTCCCTTTTGTGTCTTATGTTTTAATCTTTGTATATACCGGACAGTACTGGGCTCACTTTACCTTCTATCGTTTAGGGTTAAACATGGATGCATACATACATACCTGGCTGTTCCATCAGTGTATTCTAGTTAGATATCTGTATACGTATCTAAAATACGTTATAACTAATATCCAATCACTAACCACCTCTCTAATCGTTGGTTACCACTCCAATCACAACCCACCAACCCAATCCCTGAGCACAAACCACTCATTCCTTGAGTGTATTTTTTTTTATTGATATATGTAGTTAAACAAAAAAGTTGTAGCACCTGAAATCCCATTGTTTATTGATTTTTGACTAATTTTTTCCTATTGTATGGAGTTTGTCCGTGCGAATTCAACTTTTCTCTATATAAAATATAATAATAATAATAATAATAATAATAATAATAATAATAATAATAATAATAATAATAATATTATTATTATTATTATTATTATTATTATTATTATTATTATTATTATTATTATTATTATTATTATTATTATCAAAATAATAATATGGAGCAGAACGTGAACAAATATTTCTTAATATTTTATCATTAATCTCTGCACTTTATTGCCAGTCTTTTCAGTTCTTTCTTCCACTGCTATAACAGTAGACTGAAGCACGCAGTACTCTATATATTACATGAATTAATCCCATGTTATTGACTATTTTACCTTTATGGGTAACCCTGTTTGTAAGACCCATGCGGGTTTAGCGTAGTTTTTTGTTAGTAACACATATAGAATCCCTGTCAGTTTATATAAATATTTACTAACTGAAATTTTATAATTCTATGAAGAAATTAACTTTTACAATTAATGCAATTTATTTATTTTTTATCTGTTAATTGGAGCATTGTTCATATTCTTTTTGTTTTTTTTTCAAAATACTTATTTTGTTGTTGGTTATTATTGCATCTTATTTTTCTCTCAGTCGGTTGCTACTTGTTTCGCTCCCGTTTTTATGTTTTGTTTGCAGGAACCAGTGTGACGGTTTGCAGGAACCAGTGTGACGGTTTGCAGGAACCAGTGTGACGGTACCAAACCCGCCAACAGCACAATATCCTTATTGGCCTTAACGTTAATTTTTATTCGCGATTTCCACCGTCATTCTCTGGAACTTCTTTTGCAAACTTACGAATATTATTTTCTTTCCCTTTAATCAGTTTCCTTTCTTTTTTAGATTAGGTTACATAACCCTTTGAAAACGTATATTCAATCGCATATAAACAATTAAAAAAAAACCTTTCGCGACTACCTAAAGGCAGCCACAGTGACTTTTCTATGTGGTGGTCACTTTTTTAATATCGTGGAAAACCTACATACTCTCATACCTGGAGTATACCTGGAGGGTGTTCCAGGGGTCAGTGCCCCCGCGGCCCAGTCCTTGACCATGATGTGATATTTAAATTTTCATTGGGTGAGCTAATAACCCAACGGCAGACTTCAGCTTCACGGAAAGGGGGTCATCCCCCCTCCTCAGCCTAAATTTTTCCAATAAGTACTGTCCTCCTTCCACCTCTAGGAAGCAGTGAACATTACAGGGAGTCGCCTTGGGCTCCAGAGTGCTGTAACACCTGTGTGTGCTTCTGTTAGGATTGGTCATGCTCTGCTGGTTACTGATCACCTGAAACGGCTCCACTTTCCAAGCCTGTGATAATGTCTTAACATAACGCCTCTAACCAGGAGATACTTGAGAACGTCGCCAGGGGCAGTGTAGAGCTTTCCCATTAAAGCTCACCGTACATTAGGCTTCATTGGGACGCAATTCAACTATTAGTTCAAATCATTCTTGAATTCGTGAATCTGTACACTAAAAACTTTATACTGGCAGACATTCGAGGTTTGTATTGTACTGGAGAATTACATTTAAAATTCAAGTGTGTGCAGGTTAATTAATTTTGTACAGAATTTTTTCTAAAGATGTAGATATCTGGGTGCAATATTGTACAATAGTTTTTTTTCCTTTTCCATTGCATTTTGAATATATTTAAAAAATGATTATTGTACTTTACTGCCAGCTGCCTTTTCAAAAACTACAAGTAGCCCTTCAGTATGAAGAGGTTGGGGACTCCTGCTTCAGAATGCATTCACAATTACTGTACTATTTTATTTAGTTAATCCTTAACATCATATACAACCATCCATACAAATTTCTTGGTTATAAGTATTAGTGCAACACCTATTTTATAAGTCGTTAACATAATTAATTTATCAGACTTGTATATAGCATTACATGAATACCCACTAGTAACTGGGGTCACATACGTGACAGATATTTTACATTGCACAGAAATTTACAAAGACTAAAAACAAAATTGCTGACAGAAGACTAGGTTCACCTGAAGCTTCGCTCTCTCCTCCCAAGGGAAATAGTTAACAATGGTAATATTTTTTATACAAATTAGGTAAATTCAGCTCTTTTTTTATATATTACGCGAATATTCCCGAGGTTAGGTTGCTTCACTAGTTTTGGCGCAAAATTACAAACTACCAAATTAATTTTTTTAGCTAACTGCGCCAAAAGTTAAGAACGAAACAATTCAAAGGAGTAACTGAGCCTCAAACCCGTCATCTAGATGCCCTAAGATTTACCAGTCAGCGGTGGTTTGAATCACCGGGTTTGATAACCTTAATAGCTCTATAGTGCAAGTTTTCGTTACCTGTTTTTCTCTGCAGGGGAGACGAATTTTCAGGTGATTAGAAGAATGACCATTGCAGGAAATAGGAAAGCTTAACCAAGAGCCAACCATACTATATCCCACGTTACAGCTAGGTAACATTGACGGGGCCATCCTGCTGGACTGGCGGGAATCAGCACTCTTGAGCAACCTAGAGCTGGGGCGAGGATGGGCACCCTTATGCTTGATGCTGCGAGAAAAGACCTTTCTGAATTCCATAGCAAAGTTCTCCCTGTATGTGAACACTTCGACAATCAGGGCCTCCTGTTCGTGGTAAGTGATCATCCAGTATCTCACATCTAATTTGTATCTTAAAACTGGCATAATTAATATTTTTGAATACTTACAAATTTGATGAATCGTAGTCAAACACCATCACAGGATGAAGATGGTGTGAGAGATGGAATGAGAGTCTTAAGTAGACAAAAAAAAGACAGTAATAACTAGGTGACGATCAACAAAGGTACATTGAACGTACATTTCAAGACGAAGCTGGTCAGTAATGAAACGATTCTTCTGATAATAAATTTGACGAGGAAATAGACAAGTATGACTCGTATCACATCAGTCTCATATTAACATACACTAGCAACATACAGATGGAGCCGCTTAAAGCAGTGGACTAATAATGGGATGGGTAATGCCCTATCCTGCCTAGTTTGCAGGAAGGTGTTAGAAAAGATGTCTTTCACTGCAACGTAAAAGCATTACGTGACTAAACAATGGCATGGCAAGAGAAAGACGTGCTCCGACGCCTTTAAGTGCTTAAGACTGAGGATATGCACCTTATCTAACCTAACTGCAATAGTCATATACTTGCATAAAACAGAGGCAAGTCTGCAAAGGTAAGTGGGAGGTTATAGGTTCACTAGAGTAAAAAGCGCAATCCAGTGTAACAGATTCCCATCTGGACTCAGGTTAGAGTGAGTAAAGGCGTAAATGCAGTCCCTGAGAGATCCCCAGAGAAGTAGATACTAAATTCTTCAGCCACTTTTATGAGTCTGTGATCTCTGAAGGTGGTGAAAACTTCAACGCAAGCTTCCGTTGGTTTATCATTGACTTTTCTTTATATACCTTTGTAAGCATTTTTTTTTGTTTTGTAAACATTAGTATTTTAGAACCATGTGACTATGTGGGAACTAAACTTGTCCATTTTGCTTAGGAATACGTCACCTTCCCTTTAGAGAAGGTTACTTAGTAATACTCGGCTAGTAGACCAAAGCGAGGTGCAGTTTTACATCAACAGATGTAATCATCAGATGTTGTGTTGCAGGTATCTGGGGAAAGGAGCCAGGAGGAAGTCTTCAGGGACGTCCAAAGAGCACACGATAAAATTATGCGGCCACACCCTCTACCACCCCTGTCACGTGCCTCTGTAGGTCAGTGGTACTCTGTTTCTCTGTCTGTCTGTCTGTCTCTGTCTCTGTCTCTGTCTGTCTGTCTGTCTCTGTCTCTCTGTCTGTCTGTCTGTCTGTCTGTCTCTCTCTCTCTCTCTCTCTCTCTCTCTCTCTCTCTCTCTCTCTCTCTCTCTCTCCTCTCTCTCTCTCTCTCTCTCTCTCCTCTCTCTTCTTCTCTCTCTCTCCTCTCGCTCTCTCTCGCTCTGTTAAATTTTGAAGACACTACTGAAGATATGCACCCATTCTATGTAATTCTCCTGATCACTCCACGTGTATAACTTGATTTTACACAGATAAGTCTCATATAATCGAGTCATGACTTTACCCCAAGTATGTTTCATAACTTTTAGCTGTGACAAAACATTGTTTTCCGTAGGGTCTTACCGAGAATACCGCAATATGACGGCTTCGGTGCAGAATCAACCGCTTTCCACCTCATTCATCAATGTCAACTCAGAAGATGCGGTCTTCCCTCCGTGCCTCTTTTTCATGGGTAATAACCTCACCTCTTGTCATGAGCGATTCATCCAACCTCTTCTCCAAAGTTGAAATCCTTTCCTTTTTTAACTCTAAACTAGTTTTCGTACTCGTCTGTATGGTAACATGTATACGTGTTAGTTATCTCTCTCACTATGAGTGAGTTTAGTATCCGTTCTCCTTGTGCAAGTATCTTTGCACATAGAGAACGGATATCTTTCGGGGGTAAATCGTCATTTCTTCACTATTTGATTCCTTCTAGCTCTTAATGTGTCTTCTCGAGTCACTGATATGTCTTGCCTGATCTCCATAGCTATTTCTGCTTATCGTATTTTCTCAAGTGTGATTGATGACGATAACAGTAATAACAATTTTGGTGTTACAGCTGCACGGTGTTTAATTTTCTTCTTCATGGGTAAGTTATCTAGCCCTCATTACTGAATATTTCAGAAATGGTGCTACGCATTGTTCGATAGGTCAGAAAGGTTAAGTACCTTTGGGTTTGACCAGTAAGTAGTCAACGTAAATCTTGTTTTAGGGACTGGTGTAATTTGATTGTCGGTGCATATGTGATGTGCATCCTTAATGACCTTTGTGCAGCCGACAAGCTTTAAAATCTTACGATCTACACTAACTTAATATTGTATATATGATGATACAAATTCACAAGTGTGGCTATTGTTATTACAGGTGGTCCTGGGAGCGATAAGTGGCGGCTGATGAGTGGTATTACATACCTGTACCCCGGGTGGGCATGTATGGGCATCGGCCAGATGCTCCGAGATCAAATTGCGTGCTGGAGGGAGGACCCTGAGGCCTACACTGAATTACCCAGCGAGAAGGTTATTTTAATCCAGAACCTCATGCGCAAGGGAGAGCTCATTCCACAGGTGAGGAATTAACAATTAACAAAGCACTAAGAGTGAAACGTTATTCAGCGGTGTATGTAATGCAAGATAATACACATTCACGTCCATTATCGAGCTGAGACAGTTGGTATGTGTAGATGAATGGTTCAGGGAACCGACACGTTGATAAATTAGACACATGTGCAACTCTTGGGTATCTTTATTGAGGAAAATGTGCAACTCTTGGGTATCTTTATTGAGGAAACGTTTCGCCAAACAATTGCTTCATCAGTCCATACAAAGGAGAATCGTGAAGAACAGGATGGTTCAAAGAACCGACGTTTCGGTTCTTTGAACCATTCTTCTACAATCCTGTCTGACGCTGCAACTTCTTGGGATCTTAATACTTGGGAATTCTTCACTTGCCTAACCCTTGGACACGACCTACTTCCACATTGGACAAATGTGACACCACCTACGACTGCTGCACCTCTCCTGCCTACAGTATATAAGCCACTTCTTCGCACATATGCTGTATTCTTTTCAAGATTGATGGACTGATTACATCGACTCAAGGCTGAGGGACTGATTACCTCATTCTTCTCCTGTTCTTCACGATTCTCCTTTGTATGGACTGGTGAAGCCCCTGTGTGGCGAAACGTTTCCTCAATAAAGATACCCAAGAGTTGCACGTGTGTCTAATTTACCACAGTATGTATAGAAAGTGTTGTCTGCCTCTCGATTACTAAATGGAGGATTGAGCCTCACCCACCATCACTTGTGCTGAATGACCCACACGGGATTAATACCTCACACACAAACAATTCTCTCTCTCTTTCTCTCTCTCTCTCTTTCTCTCTCTCTCTCTCTCTCCCAAATATATTAAATTTACCTACAACGAAGTCTCCAATAATTTCATATAGACATCTCTCTCTCTCTCTCTCTCCTGCAGGACTTAGTACTAGACATAGTGAGGAAAAAGATAGAAGAACTCAAGTCTCACGAGGGAATCGTTTTGGTTGGGTTTCCTCGAGACATCATTCAAGCTCAGAACTTCGAGGAAAAGGTACAAGAGCGACAAAATTTATGTATTTCCTCCTTCTGTACCACATTCATACTACTTTCAAAACTATTTTTTTAACAAGTGAATTTACAAGCTAGGACCAGTTATCTTACTTTGCTTCATCGCGAATTCCTGGTATATTTACAGTATTTTACACTGATATCCCGCACCTAAGAGAAAGAAGCTTACGACGACGTTTCGGTCCGATTTGGGCCGAAAGTGTATTGTGCCTTGTTGTTCTTTAAAGTATTTTACTTCCATCCCCCATTGGATACGACCCACAAGAGTCGACTATCACTTTGATATCTATTTACTGCTAAGTATATTATTATTGTTATTATAATCAAGGGGGAAGCGCTAAACCCGGAGGATTATACAGCGCCTGGGGGGGGGGATGTGGAAGGCATTCAGGCTTAATTCGGGGAACTGGAGCACAGATCCAATTCCCTAAATCAAGAGCCCCTCACCAACATCAAGGAACCTTCCTTGAGGGACAGCTAAGTGATAGAGGAGCAGCGAGTGTGAAAAACAAGAGTTGCTCTTATGTTTCAACATATTTATTTATTTATTTTATGTCTTTGCAAACAGTACATTGAGATTTTATATTTACAACAGTGGGTTGCAATGCAAAGAGAGCCTCTACTATGCCTGGGCATTATTAGGAACTCTAACCCGGGTTCACTTTGGTTGTGAGCCCAGCACTCCACCAGTTTACATAAAGCTCCGTAGTAAACCACTCACACCATAAGTTGTGGTTCCACTACTTATCATTAATAAGTCATCTAGCTCACATAGGTGAGTAGAGTTCTAATGATTAGTTGTTTTAATGGTCATCATACCAGTTATATAATACAAAACCTTCCGGAGAGACGATCTGGGGCAACTCAGAATAGGAAGCCACCGTTCTGTTAGACTTGCTCCACATTGAATATCGGAAAACACTTGCAGAGTTTTACAAGCTTTCAATTCGTTTTTCCAGCTCACATTTATATAAAGTTCCAGTTCCCTTCCATGTGTGTGCCCTCCACCAGACAGTTATGAATAGAGGCAAAATTTCTACCTTTTCCCAATAGGAAAACTCAACGTTTATCTTTTTTTTTTTTCAAAGTCACACTTTGGTGAAAGGCCTCAGGTAAATATTATTACATTGTCTGAAAAGAGGTTGACCTTCTAAATCAGCCGTCGAAATTTCAGATAAAATAGTTCCCAGTCGCGTGGGCTGGACGCTGTTACATTGCTCTCCTACGAACAAGATTCGAAAGTGTGACAATGATAATGATTTGCTTCTCTCAGCCATATAAATAATTTAGGCACATGAATCAGTACAAGAGTAGACACAAAAGAAAGCCACTAATTATGCAATGCATTTCGGCGGGCAACTAATCTTAAGTTTTACAGTGATTACATTAATGTAAGAGAAGGATCACAGTCTGTCTTTCCTTTCGTGTGGATTTAGATATGATAAGAATTTATTCTAAAACACATAACTATAAATATGAAAAATAACAGAATGGAAACACTTGATGTTTTTGTTTTGCTTTAAAACACACACACACACACACACACACACACACACACACTACTGGAGTTCTATGACATGGTGACAGCAGTAAGACAAGAGAGAGAGGGGTGGGTGGATTGCATTTTCTTGGACTGCAAGAAGGCGTTTGACACAGTTCCACACAAGAGATTGGTGCAAAAACTGGAGGACCAAGCAGGGATAACAGGGAAGGCACTACAATGGATCAGGGAATACTTGTCAGGAAGACAGCAGCGAGTCATGGTACGTGGCGAGGTGTCAGAGTGGGCACCTGTGACCAGCGGGGCCCCCGCAGGGGTCAGTCCTAGGACCAGTGCTGTTCTGGTATTTGTGAACGACATGACGGAAGGAATGACTCTGAGGTGTCCCTGTTTGCAGATGACGTGAATTTGATGAAAAGAATACACTCGATCGAAGACCAGGCAGAACTACAAAGGATCTGGACAGGCTGCAGAACTGGTCCAGCAATTGGCTCCTGATTTCCCATCCCACCAAGTGCAAAGTCATGAAGATTGGGGAAGGGCAAAGAAGGCCGCAAAACGGAGTACAGTCTAGGGGGTCAGAGACTACAAAACCTCACTCAAGGAAAAAGATCTTGGGGTGAGTATAACACCAGGCACATCTCCTGAAGCGCACATAAACCAAATAACTGCTGCAGCATATGGGCGCCTAGCAAACCTCAGAACAGCATTCCGACATCTAATAGGAATCGTTCAGGACCCTGTACACCGTATACGTTAGGCCCATATTGGAGTATGCGGCACCAGTTTGGAACCCACAACCTAGCCAAGCACGTAAAGAAACAGAGAAAGTGCAAAGGTTTGCAACAAGACTAGTCCCAGAGCTAAGGGTATGTCCTACGAGGAGAGGTTAAGGGAAATCAACCTGACGACACTGGAGGACAGGAGAGATAGGGGGGACATGATAACGACATACAAAATACTGAGAGGAATTGAAAGGTGGACAAAAACAGGATGTTCCAGAGATTGGACACAGTAACAAGGGGACACAGTTGGAAGCTAAAGACACAGATGAATCACAGGGATGTTAGGAAGTATTTCTTCAGCCACAGAGTAGTCAGTAAGTGGAATAGTTTGGGAAGCGATGTAGTGGAGGCAGGATCCATACATAGCTTTAAGCAGAGGTACGATAAAGCTCACGGCTCAGGGAGAGTGACCTAGTAGCGATCAGTGAAGAGGCGGGGCCAGGAGCTCGGACTCGACCCCCGCAACCTCAACTAGGTGAGTACAACTAGGTGAGTACACACACACACACACACACAAGCAAGGGGGCAAGAAGCTATTACCTGACCCCTGCAACCACAAGTAGGTAAGAACATATCTTTCTGTTCTAGATTTGCATCAGTCCTTTATAGATATATGGCCCATACGAGTTAACCACTTGTTTTTAATATAACAATAATAATAATAAAGCTCTTATCATATCTGTTGCTACTGGTCAGACGACCAGCTTAACCGAAGTGCTCCATAATACTCAACCTCTCTTCAACTTTCACCTCAACCAGATCCTTCTGCTACCGATGATAAACAAAATCTTCAGTAGATCCCTCTTGATTTCTTATGCAGTCCTTAGAAAAGGTATGCACATTTCTCGCATCTGATAGAATGCAGTCAAGTATTCTGATTTTCATTAATTGCAACTTGCAGTTTCACCAGATCCCTCCGCTGTTGTTGATCGACTGCTCAGAGTTAGAACTAGGGAGGAACCTTGGCAGGAGAGAGAACCGTCTGGATGACAATGTAGCAGCAGCCAGGAGAAGACTCGCCATCTATCGCGAAGTTACGCTTCCTATGCTGAAAGCTTTTGATGAGAAGAACAGGCTCAAAATTGTGAGTGGTTTGTTGAGTTTGAAAAAATAATGTGTTTTGTCAAGCTAGGCTAATGAGTGAGTTTTATTAGGCATTAGGTTAGGAGTCGTGATAATCCTGAGGACGTAATATAGCTTTAATTTTGCAATACTGTTTTGACATCACCTAACCATAAACAAGGACACATATATTAATAGGATGATGCTTTACCCCATTATCAAATACCATTCTTATAATAATAGTTTTTGTAATCATTTAATGGCACAGTGAGATATAATGAAATATAACTACAACCTATTTCTGGCTTCGGGAATCGATTCGTGGAGTCTCCCAACATCTCACGAATAGCCACACTCTTAATGGACGAGGGCCTTATTGTACCTTCTTTAGAAACTGTATGAAGTCTGCTTTTACTGCTTCATATTGATCGTTCCACTTCTTAACTTTTTTTTTTCTGGTAATGGTGATTTGTATGATTAATATTTTGTATTTAGTATTCGCAAACTAAAATGATACCTGGAACTGAAATTTCGCTGAAGTACGGGCTGGAGTTTTAGGACAGAATACATTTATTTCGACTTGCAGGAGGCCTGGCAGCTTCGATTTACTTCGACAGATTTCTGGTGATACATAGCAACCTTTTCCTTCGTGTCCACAGATTGATGGTGACGCAGACTGGGAGCAGGTGGAGAGGGAAGTGAAAAGAGCCATCTATGTGGAAACTCAGACGCTAGCTCGCCGCACCCACAGGTCCGCCACACACACACCCACACCTTCCCTGAGGGAAACCTCCTCACCGAGACCTGCCAGTCCTTGTCTTTCTGCTGCCACTCACAGCACCAGGTTCACGCACCACCGTGTTGTTCCTCTCTCACCCGGCGCATGATCTTCGCTCACTCACTTGCAATATCACCCACGCTCATACCTTAACTACCTAGCTGATCCCACTCATCCATTTCCATGCTGTCTTGAGAATTCCCATGTTGATTTGACTTAAACATTCCCATAAGTTTTCATCCATTCCCATGTTGTCTCACTCACACTTTTCACCACTAACCTGCAAATTCGAGATGAGGCTAGACGACGTTTCGGTCCGTCCAGGGAACCAGGATCAACATTAGGTTGAAAGTCCAGGACGAATTGAAACATCATTTACTTTCACCTCCGTTTTGTGGGTTATTTGTGAATTATTCCAATCATAGCATTTTTTATTTGTATTTGTTGATTAAGTTACGAGCTGTTCCAATCACATTATTGTGTTTGTGGGTTAGTTGTTAATTGTTCCAGCCACTGTATCGTATATGTAGAATAGTTGAAAATTATTCCAGCCACGCTCTTGTGTTTGTGCGTTAGTTGTAAATTGTTCCAACCACCGTACTGCGATGTTTTCCCCACGTGCATCTACTAACCACTTTCTCACTATCCTGTTCATTCGTGTTACTTATTTACACCACATCCACTTATTCACACCTGTATCGATGTTAGCGCTGTCATGCTCACCTTAAAGCCATGATCAGCCGTTGCAAGTGCTGTTTGCATCCATATAAACCCATTTGATGTTGCAAATCTATACCGGTGCCCACCTAGCATACCACACACTTAAATTATGCAGTCAACCATTGATACCACAACCAATAACACATGAGATATTAATGCAACCACGAACAAGTGGTATTTAAGCAATAACACACGGCTAGCCAGGGGATCGAACCCGTGTTGTTTTAGCCCACCTCGTGGGAAGCAAGTCAAAATTAACGACGCTCTAAACCACTGGACCAGTGGTCTAGTGGATTAGAGCATCAGTGATAACTTCTCTGAAGGGACTTCAGCTAAATCTCGCCACAACCATGTAAGAGGTGGTCACAGTGCTACCCTTGTTAGCTTATAGAAGTATACGTACCTAATTAGATTAATCTTATTAGGCTAGCAAGGTATAGTGGCTTGAATCCCGTCCGTTCCGTTATTATTTCCAATCTGTTTTGGAGGTTGAAATACCACCCGGGAGATGGTACACAAACAGGTAATTAGGCAGGAACAATGTGAAAAAGAGAAGTAATTTATTTCATTTTACTAGGGGACGCTGTTATTGTATATAAAATTACTTTTGAACAGTCATACCAGCCATACCTTATAAAATGAAATGTTGTATATAGTTTACAAATAATATGAGCATGTGCGTAAGTTACTTAAATGTGGTTAAGATTAACAGCACTTTTAAACTCGTTTACAGAGGTCAGTCAGATGAGGACACACCCCAGGAACACTTCAGCAGCAATGTTCTGGTTCCTCCTAGCTTTGAGCGGCACGGGGAGGGCAATACACTTTCTCATGACATAGGGAGTGTAGAAACCCTGAACACAACACCCAAGAATTCGATGAAACACAAAGCAGTCTGACAACAAAAGGTGCCCTACTTCGCTTGTCGAAGAAGGTCTGTGATAATATACTCTTCCATTAGAAACAAAGTTGACAGTGACAGTGCTTCAGTTGTTTACGAATCACAAATAAGCAAGATAGATGGCCATGTACAGTATTCATTCAGTACGTGTATTTTTTTGTTTCAACGCGTGAGTTTTAATGTCTTACAGTGCCAGTCCTATTTTGTAATTAAGGCGCCGACTGAAGTGTCTCTCTTAGTGTTAAAATTATTTTTTGTACACACTTCAGTTTGTTTTACTGTTAGTAAAACTAGCCTTCAGAGCAAATTCCTTGGCCTTACTTGGTAAAACATTATTTTAAAAAAAATAATCATGATATTATCATCTTTGTAACAGTGAAATTAATGGAACTGGCGAATCTCTAAAACATTTGCTCCCCTTTCCAAGGAAAACACTAAAATCTAGTTAAGCAACATGTTGTATGCAAGTTCTTTATTTTAAACCAAATCTAACACAACACCCTAATCTAACCTTGCTGAAATTTACATAATATAATATGACTTAACCTACTTAAGTTATCTAAGAATCCGCAGAACCCTTGTTTATATTTTTCCAGTGGGAGGAATGAGGGGGAGGGCGAATCTTTTAAGTGACCCAAGATATATAATAATCACGAACGCCAGCGTCAAAATTCTTTACTGTATAGTGTGCACTTTTCATTCTCTGAAGGATTATAAACACATGGTTGGACAAAGTTCATTCAGATCTAAAACTGATGTTCCGTGATTTAGGAAACTTAACGTGTCCAGAGGTATACACTCCGTAACATTTCCATTATGATTTAATTTAAACGACGTAGTTTTTATAATGTATCTCATAGCAATATACTTCTATCATGCTGCCTTTACTTGACGGTACTGATGATATATATAGTTTCAGAAATAAATACCATAAACATGAAAAATATTGACAATATTTTTACGTTTATTATGCCGAGTCGAATAATGTATTTTAAAGAATGGATTCAATTCATATTTCAGCAATTTTCAAAATTCATTAGTAAGATATTATTGTATAGCTTTAGATAGAAGTATAGTAGCATGAAAATATCAATACAGCAATACACTCTTAATTTTATTGAATAAAACAGTGATGAAAGATTTATTAAAATTTCTGTGAAGTGAATATTATACGAAGTCATTACTGAAAAAATTGGAGACCTTTATAGCATCCTTGACAAGTCACTTTGAAGAGGCATTCTGTTTACAATGAAGCACTGACTTACCAAGAAACAGCTAAAAACATCAAATGTCATCATTTTCCTTAAAATAATAACAAGCTGGAGAACAAATAAATATTCTGAAGGAAAATAGGCGTGAGCAGCCTATTCTCTTTGTTACTAGGACCTTCCAGATTTTGTATAATTCTAAATAGGTAGGTAAGGTTTGTCAGGAAACAGGACAAGTGTTTCCCGGCTTGGGTCTTATTCATGATGACCGCAGCTGGAGCTTTTGGTCATCTGATCGAAGCCCTCCGATGGCTTACCGGGTCACCCCTTTAAAAATTATGGTTATGGTCATAACCATTAGGACTGTATAATGATTCTGAAGAATACTATAAATCTTCCGCCAAAAATTGCTATTACACTCTCGAAAGTCATGCTTATAAACCATGATTTTTTCTGAAGAAACTGTATGTTAAAACTATACCACAGAAAGCAGAATGCGGAAAGGAGCCACAAACGGAGTCAAAATAACAATAGAGGGGTCCTGAAAACTAGTCATTTAGAAGATATAACTGATGGATTGTAGTCCTGCACGAAAAACAACTATTTATAAGCCAAAAATAAATATATTAATCTTATTATTATTATTAAAGATTCGCCGGTATTCTCCCGGCCCGGGCCTTTTCCAAGTGGTGGCCCGGCCTTGGCTCCCTCTTTAGGGAGTGTCTGAGACCTAAGTCTCCCATGGGAGGAGGCACAAGTACCTCCTCATCTTTGGGACCAACTGTCCCCAGGCCTAGCCACAAGCTAGGCCTCTCTGGTCTGCCATCCCCGCCCCAAGGGGGCAAATGGGAATGACAGTCTTATGAGCTAAAGGCTCGGGCTCAGGCACCTACCCTACCCTAGAAGGGTTAGGCATGATGTCGATCTATATTAATCTTAAATAACTTGCTCCATAAGGATGGGTTAGATGTAAAACAAAATATGTATAGGAAGTGTCTTGGGTAACCTGTGCTTGTGTGGAATGTTCCTTCAGTGACTTCGTATCATTAATACCATGAAATAGTATCTGATTATTCAGTTGTGGCGTTTTGTCACAGGACAAAACGCCACAACTGAATTAATTATTTAAAAATTCAGAATAAACTATAAACATACCAAAAGGTAGCCGGTAAGAAAACCCGGAGATAATACGAATTTCAGGATAATTCTATGTTGATGTCTACAGCTCCATTGTTTTGGTAAATAAAATTATACCAGTGTGACACAAATAAGACCAATGTAATTATTAGTAGGAAAATGACTTTCTCTGCGTCAATATTAGCCTTATAAAGAATTAGAACAGTACCGCTAATCGACTTAATATATGACATATACTGTAGAACCTTACTAAATTATTAGATATTTTTCAATATTATTATTCAAGACCTCGAGGTTACTTTATATATATAATTACAGTATTTCACATTTTTTTTTTTTTGCTTGGTAGCCAGGAAAGTGACCTGGGACAAATGCCTCATAGCCTATTTGCCTTTCTTTTTTACATATTACTGTGTAATGATAAGAAAACCGCTATTAACAAAGATTTTGACCCACTATAACTGATATGCCACAATATTGGATCTAAATCTTTTCACGTTATAGTGAAATGATAAAGATTACCCAGTAAATAATGACTTTATTGGCCATAAGAAACCAGCATCGTCATATTAAAAGTTTATAATAATAATATCATTAAAAATAATAATCACGTTAATAATAATTATGATAATTAAGTGTAAGTTCTTATACGAATAATTATGTACATTAGTAGATGACTGACAGTGCAGTTCTCTGCCACAGAGTTCGTGACTAGTTAACCACCCTAAGTTGGTGCTAATTTCGGTTGTATTTTTTTCCTAGCAAACTAATTGGTTGTTTAACTGAATAAAAAGCCTATCGACTACATGAGGGTCATTAAGGATGCATGTACTATACTTACCACCAGTGTATATGTGTCTATGTATATTTACTGAGACATGTACCTCCCGGTGCAAATATTTTGACGCAAGTCAAATATTTCATTTTTTTTTTATATTGTTCGACTGATGAACAGAGTTTGGGGTGTTTCATGATTTTTTTTTTACTGTAACTACTTTATTTAATGTTCTGACATAAAAGAATATTAATAATTATGATTCTTCGTGTGTTACATGACTAAGAATAGTATTCAGCATAAGTTTACAATCAACATTCAAACCATAGTTTGAACTCCACCCCATGTCCATTGTGCCCAATTGTCATGACAGCCCCATTCATCCCTCCACTTTGCCATGCCATGATGTGCTTAGAGCTTGGGTGCTTTGAAGAGGAAATACTAAGTTATAAAGAAAACATTTCTCAGAGTAGACATTAAGGCTCTAGTGTTAGTTTTAAAGTAAATTTTTGAGCTCTGTCTCTAGATTTAAATGATCAAATTGGTATTAACATTACTACTATATTAGAATAAATAATTTCATATAAAATAATAGTTATAGTTATAGCACTATAATTCTAAAGAAATGTTGAAAATTAGGTCGTGGTGATACTTCGGACACGTTTTACAATATTACTGAATCATATATATATATATATATATATATATATATATATATATATATATATATATATATATATATATATATGTGTGTGTGTGTGTGTGTGTGTGGTGTGTGTGTGTGTGTGTGTGTGTGTGTGTGTGTGTGTGTGTGTGTGTGTGTGTGTGTGGTGTGTGTGTGTGTGTGTGTGTGTGTGTGTGTGTTGTGTGTGTGTGTGTGAAGGCATCAGTAGTGTATGTCAATACCTGGTTTATTTTGTCTGTGATATTAAACATTTCATGAGAGAAGGCTTTGGTATGTAGAAATTTTAAAATGGAAGATGTATAACAATACCTATGGTACGATCCTTAAAAACATTAGCTTCTGTGATTTTCATGAAATGGATGAGAACAAAATTGTCTTCAGCTAATTTTCCACGGAGTACTCTCAGATGTAGCTGTCAGCTAGAGCAGCAGCCACACAGCAAACCCATAAATAGGAAACAAAAACGGTAATACATTTTGGTCTCTCCTTGAGCCTTATCAAGCCATAATTCATGACGCAGTGACTTGATAACGTCCTCTATATATTCATCTCCAGATTTAGGCCTACTTGTGAACCGATTCATCTACTGTATTCTTGCTTTAGTATTTGCACTTAATTGTAACGTGATAGAAGGCGAAAACTCATGTCTGTTGTGAAATTTGTTTGTAAATCATCCAAGTGTTGCAACTATATCAAACTTTGAGAAGTTTGAAACAGCTGTACGTACATGTCAGTAGCATCTCAAATATACATACATAAATTTTCGATCACAAACTCAATTTCGAGGTATTTGCATAAGATAAATACGTAAAATCCCTCCAAAACATTATTATTACATTGGTATTTATTTACTAGGCTATACACGATGTGTTCTACATACCTGAATATATTCAGAATCATCTTAGGACACTACAAGGTACGCATTCTTCGTTTTGCTTTTAAATGGGATGTAAAACCTAATTCTAGTGTGCCAGTAGATGTTTAATCATCTCATCTGACGTGTTAGGAGACATCCTGTTTCCTGACGAATAAACCATCATAATCTATTATATTCACGTATTTTCGAAGAATTATAAAAAATATATACATAGGAATTACGATAGTTGATATATTTATACCGAGCTGACGATATATTATTAACGACAAACTTCCTTCCGGGACTCGACCCTATCAAGCTAATACGTACTTATTTTAGAACACTGGGGATGGAACTGAGATCGCTTTTCGATCCAGTCCTAAGGCCATTATCAAGCCATCTCGTGACATGAGTATCTTCACTGATACCTAGGTGTTACACGTCTTATTCATAAACGTGTCAGAATGTATACCGTTTATGCAACAATATGGACCGAAACGTCATCTAGGTTTAAACTCCAATTTATGGGTTAGTTGTGAATTGTTCCAGTCACGGTATTGTCTTGAATAATTCCGTATGACAATCGACTGTTCGAATCATTACCACGATCCCCTATAAATTACTACATACTTGAAATTATTTCTTAAATAATAGTTTTAATGATATCAATTAAAACTTAATTCCTTTAAAAAAAACGATAATCTCTTCATAAATATTTTGATAGTTAAATGTACAAAATAAAATAGATATAGCTCTGAGTGAGGGAAAATTGATATACAGACCAGTACCTAGTTGCCTAGGGAATTAATATAGAGATTTAAGTACCTTTATAATGCAGTTTATTGCAATGAAAATTTTCAACTTCAGACACATGAAATATTGTTAGTGTTGCCCATGTGTCTTATTCTTTCAGGCACATGAACTGAATCACAGTAGGTTATATCTGTACGTGCTTAATTTTGAGTAAATACATAATAAACTATTAAGTCTCGGTATCAGGCATTCCATTAATTAATTGTTTAAACGAGTATTGTATTTCAAAATCAGATAAAATCACAGGTTTAATCATAAATTGGATGTAAGTTCATCCATGCCACATCTAAATTAAGTTTAACAATGACATTGTATAAATAGATGTATTACGTATTTAATTTTCTCATAAGGGGTTATATTACTTCGAAAAATACGATACATTTTGAGTAAAAAAAAATAATGCTAGATAACTGGGCATATCACATAATTTTAAATTGCTGTATATATATTATCAAACAAAAATATATATTATAAGAATGTTATGTACCATACGGCTGTAGTGTGTTACATAATTTTATACATATGAACACTGAAATAGATTTTTGTGAATTGTCCTCTGTATAACTTATGGAAATTTGACCTTACACAAATATTAGTTAAGTATACACAATCATACATAGGGTCACTTTGTCAGATAGATACTATGGAAAATTACATTTACCTGGATGAATCTCATTATATACATACAAGTAAATGGTAACAAAGATAAGTATTATTTATCAAAGTTACAGAGACAAGTAGGAATTTTTAGGACACCTAGGTCGCAAAAATGTCCCCCTTCGATACCTACCATCTATCTCTCCACAAGTTGCTCTAGACCTATATTAATTGCAAATGAAATGTACATACACACCAGGGATTCTGGTAAAACTATTATAATTTTTGTGGACTGTATATTAAATTTAATAAATGATTACATATACACATTTATATAACAGAAGGAGAATTTATAATCATAACACTCACCAATTAGTCTGGAGATTACTGTGTATAATACTCAAAAACTTCCCTCTAACTAAATTTATGATGATAATACTGGCCAGAATTACAAACATGATTTAGATAGCTTATCTGAGGTTCCTGGAGCTGTCCTGTACATCGATTTAATGCTCAAATTATGCAGGAATGCACATCCAACAATTTCGGCTCCTATTTGAGAGGTGTAAGCCCAATATAACCGCTAGAGCGACGAAAATTCTTCTTATTTTCACTAACGTTTTCTTGGCTCATTCAAAAACATGGCGACTCTCTGCTCGTCAGCGCAGACGCCGAGCTTCCCATTTTTTATAATAAATTTTTTATTAAATACAATATATTTTATTAATTTACATACAAATACACTATTTTCGGAAAATATACTATATATTTTCCACAGATACATAAATCAGATACAGGCACAGAAAGTTTGATATAGGGACAAAAATAAAGACACATGCGTAGAAAGCTAGATGCATATTTAACAAATCCTGCTGAACAACAACTGTGCTTATTGATATGGAATTCTAAGGCAGAGAATAATTGTAATATGTTCACTTTTTAAATCTTTCTCTTAAAAATGAATCGTAAAATTGACAATTATATATATATATATATATATATATATATATATATATATATATATATATATATATTATATATTATATATTATATATATATATATATATATATATATATATATATATATATATATATATATATATATATATATATATATATATATATGAGCTGTAGCATCTGAACTGATGGTAGTTTTGTTTGCTAACTGTTTGTTACCTACGATTCTATAGTGCGCATACAAATGAACAAACACCAGATCCATGCATAGAGGATAAATTGCAATAATTCCAAAAACTGAAATGGCTAATGAGGAAGCGAGGAGTCCCTGATCGCACCGATACATCAAACTCTCCAGAACCTGAAGGAATATCGAAGAGAATATTAAGAGGAGCTGAAATACTGTGAAAGCCCCCCACGTAGATCTTCAGGAGGTCACTAAGGAAGGGTGATGTGCCATACTACTGGAAGAAAGTAAAAGTGATATTAGTATTCAAGAATGATGTGTTTAACATGCAAATTGATAGAAAAGATTTTAAGGAAAAGACTTGAAAGTACTCTTCTAAATTTATCACGGAACTGCAGCATAGATTCAGAAATGGAAGTTCATGTAATAGATTAACAAAAGTCAGCCAGGAAATACTGATGCGTAAGCTGCATATTGTTATACTATTAGATGATAAGAAGGCTTTTGATATGGTGTTACAAAGAAGGGTAAGAGGTACATTTGAGAAGGAAACTAGGGTAAAAGAAATGCATTAGAATTAATAAAGGAATAAATGGGAAAAATCAAATGGAAGAGTCGCTATGAAGAACTAGGATGAGAATGTAAACAGTAGTTCCACTGGGCTGGGTGTTGGGCCAAATATTGTTTTCATTGCATATAAATTATATTAATACATGAATTCGCTCTGGTATTCTTGTTTGTTGATTATTTCAAACTAATTATGATACTATAAACTGAAGAGGATGAAAGAAGATCGCTGAAGACTTAGACGGTTTAGGGAATAGTCCGCAAAAATGGTTACTAGAATTTAACCCAAGTAAATACAAGGTTAAAACACCGAGAGACAGGAAATGAAATCTGAACACAGTGCACCATCTTGGAAATGCTCTCAGAAATAGTTCATAAAAAAGACTTGGAATAGTAATTCCCAAAGCTGAGCTCGTAAATATGAAATGGATAGTCAGAAGCATAAACAAAGATTCGTTTGAAACACACACTACCTCATATACGTGACTCATTGAGTATGCAGCGCCAGTATGGAGCCCTCAGCTTGTAAAATACAAATTTAAAAAAATCGAGAAAGTACAAATGAACGAATCAAGACTGGTTCTTGAGTTGATGGTATGAGCTTCGAATAAGGACTTCAAAAGTATGACACTGATGGAAAGGAATGAGGAGAGATGTTATCACGATTTACAAAATGCTGTTTGGTATATAAAAGATAAACAGTGATAGACTTTTTATCAAAGATGCAACAAGAATTAGGGAATATTAAACACTTAGATTAATTACAATGATATCAGAAAGTACAGTATATCAACATAAGAATAACAATGAAGTGGAATGAACTGAGCAATGACACAGAAAGTGAATCCTATCCAAAATAAGTAAATAAACATTCACATAATGTTTACCATTCATATATACACACATGAATGATAAATAACATTTACCCATGAACTACATGTTCTTGAAAATCACGCAGTTTTATCCTGTTTTATTTTATTATATTCTTAC